GCTGGTTAGTGCGTCTCGCATCGATGATAAGTCGCTGTCTTCCATCCTTTCTCCGGACAAAGAACGGGGTGGCGATCTCTTTGGGCGTAGTCGACCACCTGATCAGACCACGACCGTGCAACATCTTCAGAAAACGAACGTACTCGTGCCGTCGAGTGCGAAGCTTCTGGTCAAAATGCGGGTTAATAGACTCGCCGTAGTCTCTCATTTGCATCACTTCCTTCACATCTCTCATCATGCTCTCCCTAAAGTTCACCACCGCCTCCCTGTCCCCCTGAGAAACCAAGTCCTGAAGCAACATCCTGTCCTGGACTCCTTCGGGCAGAGAGACGAGGGCTCGATCGAACTCGACGACCGTGGAAGCTGCGTGGTCATAACCACACTTGCTCTGAAGGAGCTCGCGCACGGCTCCCCCCTTATCCAAAAAGGCGGCACAGGCGGCTGTTTGGCAACTCGCCCCGCGACAAAATCGTGAATCTCGCTCACCACCTCCTGGCGAACGAGTGGGCTCGAAGCTCGGGAATATAGCCAGTTGAGGCCCGTCAAAACCTCCCCGAACTCACGCGACTGATGGCTCCTGAGGTTCGCTCTCCGCCTGCACCTCCTCGAGAGACGCGTCGGCGGAGACGCAGAGTGGTCGCAAAACTCGAGCGGAAACAGCGGCACCTGTCGTGCCACCTGCGCATCACTCTCGCCTGTCAGCGTGCATGCCGCGCGGCGACTGCGGCACGCACTATCATCGATCTTGCTGGCAAGGATGGAGGCCTCACCTCCTTGGCCACGTAGGTGCGAAGCGCCGGCGCCACAAGCTGTTGTCGGCGGTTGTAGCCCGAGAACTTATCAGCAATCTCGTAGTTCGGGTTCATAAGGTTCTTACCATGAGCCTCAAGCATAGCCTGCCATCTCCGCCCCAACCTCTCGAAGGCCGCGAGCGAAGCCACGTTAAGTTGATCGTGAGAGATAGCCAGTTCGAAAACCTCCGCCATCACCCGCATCTCATGAATAGAGCGATCGTTCTCGCTCCAACCCGCCGTCTGGAGATGGCGCTCTAGCCAGAACGCGGGCACCATCGCCAGCTGGGCAAACGACATCATCAGCCACAGGAAAGTGCGAGGACCATCCAAGGGCCAGTCCGAGAAGGCGTCCTCGACCATCTCCTTGACCGAGTCCACCCAGACGCGCCCCCTGCGGTTGAAAGCATTGAACTTCACCGACAGCGCGCGAACATCCTAGTCCGCCTTCCTGTCAGGCCCCTCACCCGCACCAGGAAGCTGCGGGCCCGCAAGAGCCCCTCGCAGGGCCTCGAGCCCTGTGGGCGAGCCAGGGCCTCCACCACGCTCCTCGGGCGTGCGAGTGCCACCCAGTCCCACCAGGAGCAGGGTCTTGCGGCCCGAGAAGTAGCCGTCGAGGTCGTCCACCTTGATTCGCTCGAGCGCCGCGACGACTGAGCCGAACTTGGCGAAACCGCGGTTCCCGAGCCTGCGCGCCGCGGATTCCTCGGCGACCTGAGTGCCGATCCTCGCCACCTCCTGGCCCCCGTCGAAGACAGGCTCCGACGCGACCCAGACCTCGTCATTCTCGGGAGCGGCGGCAAGGTCAGCCTGACCATCGGCAGGCTGCGGCAAAGGAGGAGCAGCACCTCGCGCACCGAGGCGGGGCCGACGGAAGTTCCTGATCGCAAACGCGTCGTCCCGCACTCTCGCGCGCGGGATCTCGTCGAGCCCCTCGTCGACGATGACCTGCGACGCCTCGGCCCTAAGCTCCGAGCACTTGTCCCAGGGCACCGACTGATCGAAACGGTAGATGGGCCTCGGTAGCCCCCTCGGCACGGTGCGACCTCTCAGCACTTCAACTCTGATGGGCCCGCGATCCCCAGTGGTCCTCCACTCCTCCGCGTAGACATCGAAGTCAGGCGAAGCCCCAACCCAGATACGTTTGTCATCAAGTGACTTAACCTCCCTCAGCAAAATCCGCTCATGACCGTCATCGTCCCCTTCGTACCAGTAGATGGCATAGCCACCTGGCAGAGCCTCCGCGGCTCCCGCCATCACTGTTCAACGCGACCGAACCCTCCTCGACGAGGGGCAGCAACACGACGAGGACAACAAAGCCGAGTGAGTAGACCTCCGACTGCTGCTCCGAGTAGCACTCCCAGGAGGCCGACGCTGGCAAGGGAGACGCTGGCGTCCGTGGGTGCGACGAAGCACGTCCTGTTGAAGAAGTCGGGCGGCACCTCGCACACGGGATGACGTTCCAGCGGCAGCGGGCACACGCAGTCGGGCACCTTCGGACACTCCAAAGGCCGAGGGCAGTCACAGAAGCAGTCGGGGCACTGGTGTCGAGCGGAAAGTGAAGCTAAAGAAGCGAGCTCCCTCGCAAGTCCGACTGCGAAGAGACCGATGCCAACCTCTGGCCTCATGCGTATGAGCCGAAAAACTAATTACGAGCGCGCATAGATCATTCACGTACAACTCACATAGCACAACAAGGTTCAGCAGACAGCAGAGGCAATGCAGAAAGAGGATCTTCCCCCCCCCCTTTTGCACGTGTGGAGCGCGCTGGTTTTCCGGATGGGCACGGACCCAAATAGCCCGACAGAAACCAATAAAGCTTTTGATGCATATTCGACAACTGGTCATGGTGAAGCCCGTGACAGAAGTTACCAACGAAGTTCGAGCGTGCAAAATTCGTCCGACAAAAAAGATCGAGGACAAGCTAATTCCGTATCACTCTCGCCGTGGATGCTCAGTACCGTTCCTTGAAGGTGGCGATCGAGGCTTGTCCCAAGGCGATCGGGGCAACTCGCAAACATGGGGCAACACCGAAAGGATCTCTCGAACGGGATGCCGCTCGTCTGTTGGATCGGTTCCAGAAGTGAAGGCTGCTGCTCATCGAAGGCGGGGGTGTCGCGAGCTCGCGCACGGCTAACACCGTCGTTCCGCCAGCAGTTAGTCGCCGATTCTTGGAACTGCACGCTCGACGGGTTTTGCAGCACGCAATGTCAGGTGTGCGTGACGAGGGGCCGATGAGCTTCTCGCTTGAGAATTCCGGCAGCGAGGGACGTTTTCTGCTCCAGGGGATCCTTCAGGACGTGGGTAAAGTGTTTGTAGCACAGCCCCGAGCAAAGCCTGCAGGACGAGCTAGAGCTAGCAGAAGTGTCCGGGGTCTAGCACCTACTACGCAGCTTGTCTTGGAGCCTGTTCCACTTTCCTGGCAAGCGTAAGGACAATGCCAAAGGTCCCCTCGAACAAACAGCATTGGCTTGGCGATCCAAGGCCCGTGTGTCCCCCACCCGCAGGGCGGCCAAACTGATCGTCAACTGATGGCCATGATGATCTTAACGTTCTGTGTGCATGCCGTGAACGAGATATAGTTGTATCCGTAAAGGCTTCGCCCCCTGCCGCCGGCCCTCTCCCTATCATAATCAGATCTAGAGGAGTCGCGTCGGCGCGTCTCGGCGTTGCCTTGGCGCATCTGGGAACATCATGCGGGGGCAGATAGCAATCACAAGCGCACACTGAGACGTTGGCATTATCGAAGACGCCTACTGCGAATCACCGCCGCCCCCTGCCATTCTGGCGACGCCTATGTGGCCGAACGTTGGGCTAGAGCTTGGCCAAGCTATCGGACCATGAGTTCCCCGAGTCGGTCTGCAAAGCCTTCGAGGAACACGTGGGGAGAGAAATAGGAAGTGGAGAAAGGGGAGGAGAAGGGAAGAAGAGGAGGAGGCCTCTTGAAAGCCTCTTGGGGCACTGTTGGGGCCTCCTGGGAGCTTCCGGGGGGGCCTCTCGGAGGCCTCTTGGGGGCCTCCTTAGGCCTCTTGGGAGATTTTGGGGGTTTCTTGAAGGCCTCTCTGGCCGTCTGAGGGCGTTCCTGGCCCGTCTGACGCCGTCGGGAACCATCCTGGGGGCCTCTGTAAACCGACTTGTGGCCGTCTTGGGGCGCTTCAGGGCCGTATTGGAGGCCATCTTGGGCGTCTTGAAGGCCTCTTGGGCCGTCTTGGGACCCTCATGGGACCGTCTTGGGGCCTCTTGGGCCGTCATGGGGCCATCTTGAAGGCGTCTTGGGCGATCTTTGGGCGATCTTGGAAGCCTCTCGGGCCCATCTTGGGCCGTCTTGGCAGTCTTAGCGGCCATCTTCGCCGTCTTGGAGGTCATCTTGGCCGTCTTGGAAGCTTCTTGGAGGCCATCTTGGGCGTCTTGGAGGCCTCTTGGGGCTGGCCTGAAGCCTCTTGAGCCGTTCTGGAGCCATCTTCGAGGCCTCTGGGACGATTTAAGGAACTCCGTGAGGCGTCTTGGGCGGTCGTAACACGAAAACAGAGGAAAAACAAAATCCTTCAAACACCTACGGAACATTAGTGATTTGGGCTTCTTCGGGCCTTCCTGGAACACCTCTTGGAGGCCTCGTGGGCCGTCTTGAAGCCTCTCGAAGGCCTCTGGGGCCGTCTTGGGCCATGTTGGACCCTATTTTGTTCAACTCAAGCATTGCGGCCCAATGCAGAGACGTTGACAGCGAGTCTCCAAAGCACAGAGTTGGCGCAACGCTGGAACGATTGCTTCATGCTCGGCTCGATAAAGCGGCAGATTGAAAAACGAGCGCGCGAGCCAGGATCCCAGTCTACTGAACGGAGAACTTCAAACAGATGTTGCGCCGCTGGTGCCTGCCAGCCTTCTGCGCGGGAGAAAGAGCCATCTGTGGACGTAGATCGCACTTCAACAGAAGGCAAGAGCAGGGGAACAAAGACACCTAAACAGGCAGCCAGGGACCCAGCGCACAACCACACATCACACATGATCAAACAATTGTGGCAGAGAACGGAATGATGAGTGCACTAGAACCACCGAGATACCAGCTGGCATGCGACTCATGATTATCATCACGCAAGGTAGCTGCACGCGTTCGTCCAAGCAGTTTCAAATGTCGCCTTGTCGAGTGCGTCGCATCCAAAGCCTATGAAGAGAAAGTGAACGGCGCTTCCATAGTTGACGGAGTCGCCGAAATTAAGCAGCGGCTCCCGTCGCAAACTGGCGAAGGCCCGGGGGAGAGGAGCATGAGGCACACGGGTGACGCGCACGACGCGCACACGCCCAAACCGACCCGAGCTCCACCCCGGCCGACACTGGACGCGCCTCAACGGTGCAGCCGTCCGGCGCCGAGCGCCCTGGCAATACCTGCGCACGCCGCCCCCCGTCCTCCTGAACAAGAGGCACGAGCCAATCGCGGAGTCGTCGCCGCGCGCGCCCGAGCGCGGCCGACGACGCTGGGATCTCCTGCCGTCTCCCGCCGCCCACCAGACCAACATCCTCCTCCTCAACCAGGGCCACGCCACGCCTCGCACAACCTGCCCCGTGAAACGGCAAGGCATCCGCGATCGAATCGAAACTAATTCTGCCTGTTGGGTGTGAAACTTGGCCGTCTGCGTTTACCGCAGTATCGTCTCGGATGCCCACCCTGCTTGCCCCTCGCTGACGCCCTGACATGCCATCCATCCTCCTCTACTCGGTTCTTCAGAATTGCGCGAGTCTCCTGCGACGGGGCCGTGCTGGACGAACACGGAGCTTAAACGATGTACGGTTAGAATTAAGCTTCGAGCCCGCATGAACGCGGGAAAACCCACCGCATTGCCTCACAAAAAAGCGTGAATTAATGCCGCAGAGCTCTTTGACGAGGACAGCACACAAACAACAATGCGTGCGATCAGAGTGAAAATTAAGCTTGAAAATCACCTGGAAATCACCATGAAAGATCATCACCACAAAATCTGCCCAATCATGGCTTGTTCCGCCCTCGCCCCCTCTCGATAAATTTGTATTCAAGCACTGCATCACACCTTGAAACACATTCGAGATGTTGGAAAATACAATCTTCAAACATATGAGCCACGACTACGATGACTGTCTCTGACACTTGCTGTGGCCGAGCCTTCCAGAAAGGATTGGCTGGCGATTCCAGGCACGCGAGCCTCTGGTACCTGCAACTCTCTATCATCACTTCCCTCTCTCACCCTCTCTCCTGCTCCCTCCCCCCTCTCCTCCCCCCCCCAAGTCTGCCTCGTGGCAAGCGCGCTGGCCCGGGGGCCACTCTTGCGGCTGGCGCTCCGGCCCAGAGGCTGGCCTCAGGCCCCGAGGATGGCCTCGTGCCAGAGGATCCCCGAGATCTTCGTCGTGCTCGGCTCCGCCTGGGGGTTGCACGCCACCCGGGCGGCCGTGTTGAGCAGGTCCACCCAGAGGCGGGCCGCGGCGATCTCTTCCCAGAGGTCGCCCGCCCCGGCTCGGAAAGCTGCCAGCGAGCGCAGCGTGGTGCGGTCCGCGCACCGAAAGGTGTGCTGGAAGCCTGCGCCCCCCTCCGGCGACGCGAACACGCGGCCGACCTCGATGCTCTCGAGCGGTTGGCTCGGCGCCTCCCTCCCGTGGGCCTCGCTCCCGTAGACGTGCAGGGCGGCTGGCTCCAGCACGCACCACCGCCAGCACCAGCAGAAGCCCAGTACACGCCGCTGCAGAGGGCCACAGAGGATCACCTGCCCAGACCCAGCGGCCGCCGCGGCCGTGCGCACGCGGGGAGGCGCCGCTGCCTCGCAGGGGCTCCGGTACATTCGCCGCCGCCAGGGCTGGGGACCACCCTGCCTGCAGCTCGGCTGCACCCAGCCTGGCGCAGCGCTGGTCCTGGCCAGTATCGCCAGGGCCTCGGGAGGCACGCTCGCCTTCGGGGCACCTGCCTCTGGAGACGCCAGATCCCACCAACGGTCGCTGAGCCAGGTCTGCGGGGTGCCCACGGACGTGCTATCTGCACGGACCCAGACCGGCCGCTCGCAATTCAGGCCGCCCTGGCTGCTGCGGGTGTCGCACTCCCAGAGGTGGCGGGCCTGGCCGTCGTCTCTCTCGAGGAGGTCCTCGCTGGGAGGATGCACGCGACCACAGCCCGCAGATGATATGTCTGTCCGTGCCTGCGCCATCGCGGCCCCGCCTCCGCACCGCGGCCTCTCGGCGGAGGAGAGGGAGGAGGAGGAGGAGGAGGAGGAGGAGGAGCAGGAGGAGGAGGAGGAAGAGGAGGAGGAGGAGGGCCCCGCCTCCGCACCGCGGCCTCCCGGGGGGGTCCGCGGCGAGCGGCCACCGCCCCGGCCGCCACGGGCCACGGCGAGAGGCGCGGCCGGGCGCCGCGCCTCTCGCGCGCTCGGCTGGGGCAGACCTCGCCGACGGCCCGCGGGCCCGCGGCCTGGCGCAGGCCCTTGAGCCAAAATGGTTACGGGGGGCCATCTTGGACCATCGTGGAGGCGAGGACGAGGAGGAGGAGGAGGAGGAGGAGGAGGAGGAGGAGGAGGAGGAGGAGGAGGAGCAGGACCCTCCTGGGCCGTCGTGGAGGCCATTTTGGACCATCTCGGGCGAACTTGGAAGCCATCTTGGGCCATCTGGACCCTCTAGGGCGCCATCTTGAGCCGTCTTCGACGTTGAGGTCGTTTGCGCGCCATCCGTGTGGCCGACGCGCTGGGCCGAAGCCCCAGGGGGAAGTTCTAAAAGAACCCAAACCAAAAGGATCCAGCATGCCAGGCACCCCTGTGGCAAGACCACAGGGGGCGGGGATCCTTGTGACCCTCGGCCCATCCCGCCACCGCCCCCCATCCCGAACCGTCTTGTGTATGTGTTGGGGTGTCGCGGGGAGCTCGAAGAAGACCTCTTGAAGGCGGTTTGGGTGCCCCTTGGTGGACATGTATGAGAGATCGTGGCCTCGGGGACGCAACGATTCTGTGATTCACGAGGGATACTGGTCTCGTGGGCGCAAAGATTATGTCATGCGCGAGGGCTTATGCTTCCGACGACGAACAGATAGCCTAATTTACGGAACGGGGGCAGGAATATCGCAGAAGGTCTGTGGCTTCGTGGACGCGAATACTGCTAAACTTGTAAAAATCATGGCCTCGGGGACGCGACGATTGCGTAATGTAAGAAGGTTTGCGGCCTCGGGGACGCGAACACTGTGTAACTTACAAAGGATGATGGCCTCGGTGACGCGAATAGTACCTAATTTGCAAAAAGTTGCGTGGGCTCGGGGACGCGAATATTGATTACTTTAATTCAGATTCTGGCTTTGGCAACGCCAAGATAATGCAATTTAAAACGGTTCATGGATTCGGGAACGCGAATACGGCGTATTTTACACAGGGTTTATGGCCTCGGGGCGCTATTATCATGTATTGTTACTTGTCCCGCGTCCCCCCAGGAACTTTGGGAACCCCAAGAGGGGACGCTGGCCAGGCTGCTTTTCGGTTCCCCCCTGGCGCGGACTTCAGAAATTTAAAATAGGAAATAGGACGTAGAACTATCACAATGGACATAGGAACCTGGAACTGGAGCAAACAGCAGCAAGCCTAATCCTCGCAGCCTGATGGCCCGGCAAAGGGGCTGGCGGATTCGCTTGTCAGATGACATTGCACAATTTGGATCTGGGGGGCTTCTTGCCTCGTCTTGTCTCCTGTATACCTTCCCGGTTCCCTCTCCCTTCCCTCCCTTGATTCGTATTCATACCTTCTCCACCCCTTCTCTTCTCCACCATCCCCCCAACCCCCCTTCATACATCTCCTTGCCCAACATCCCCATACCAATCTCTGTGCACGCCATCCTCTCTGCACAGGAAGCACACGCTCAATGGTACCAGCACCAGCAGCGAGATGCCGCCACGAGCTGCCGAGCTGCAGACAATCATGAATGATACCTCTCTTGCGCCAAAGCAATCCATGCACTGGCAGCCCCAACATGTGTCAACAAATATATGGTGCCAATGGTTCCGCGTGAACTCAGGTGTCGATGTGCATCTCCCCGCTGGAGCCGCAGTGCCCAGGCCAGGGTGCCCAGGCTCTCCTGAGTCGTTGGCTCAGCCAGTGCGGTCCAGACCCAGGTGGCCCCAGGCAGTGCCACAGCGGGCCACCGCGCCCTACGGGGCGGTGACTCCATGAAACTGGGCCCGCTCCCGGGGTCAATGCGCCCCAAAGCCATATTACTTCACGTTCTCCTCCTCCTCCCCGACCCTGCGATCTCTGCTCGCCCTGCAGAACTCGACCCCTCCTCTGCCCCGAGGCGCGCGCCTCGTTCTTGTACTTCCGTTCCCCCGCCTCTTTCCTCCCACACCGCATGCTTCTCCTCCTCCTCCTCCTCCTCCTCCTCCTCCTCCTCCTCCTCCTCCTCCTCCTCCTCCTCCTCCTCCCTCTCATCCTTCCCTGAGATCCAACGTCATGGCAAATTGCAACAACGCAACACAAACTCGACGGAAACCCTGGACCCTACCCGTCTGCGCCATTCCTCGAGCCAATTCGACCGCAGAGGGCCCCGGGGTGGGAAACGGCACCCGCTCGCCCGTTGCGACAAAATGCGACTCCAAGCTCTCAGGGACAATGCAGCCCATCCACCCCTCTTCCGGAGGGAACGAATGATGGGCTACCTGATCCTGAGCTACACAGCCAGCGACAACTCTGATCTCTGCTCGTCTTGCAAGGCTAGAGGCCTCCTGGATAGCGGTCTGGGTAGATGGGGTCGGAGGATCGCACCGCATCGCCGACACATCGGCGATGCATCGGCGATGCACTGGCGATGCTCGCGTTGTCGACGTCGGCGATGCATCGGCGACGTCGACGTGAAGCAAATCGGGCTCCGCATCGAGCCGCATCGGCGATGCATCGGCATGGTTGCGCGATCCTCCGACCCCGCCTGCTCCGACCCCATCGAAAAGGCCTACGAAGGCTCGCCGAGCTTTGGCGCCGAGCACTTCTGGAGGCACTCCCGGGGCGGCGGCGGCGGGCTTCACTAGCCTCGCTCGGCGGGCCTCTCTCTTGGGACGCGTCCCGGGCTCCCGAGCCCAGAAAACCGCCAAGAGCCGACGAAGACCCCCAGGAGGAGCTGCCCGAACACTCGGCCCTCGGAGTTCGACCCTCGAGCCTCGAAGTTCGACCCCGAGAACCCCTCTGACCCTCGCCTCGCGGAGCACAGCAGAGGAGACGTCGACCCCTATCCCGGGCTTCGTGGAGTCTTCGAATGGACCACGCACGTGGGGCCCAACCCGGGGATATACGACGGTAGGGGGGTGTCCGTCCTCGATAGGGGGCGCCTCCGACTAGAGCCCCCTGGGGGCGTCTCTCCCAGGGTTCCCCTCCATCTCTCACGAGCGGCCCTGGCCATCGCTCGGACGTCCATGTCCTGTGTTTTTTTTCGGTTTCGTGCGTGGTTTTTTTTTCGCGGAATGATCAAGGGTGCTCCTCGATGGCCCTCGCCGAAGGACGAATGCACACGCCCGAGCGATGCCGAGGGCCAGAGAGTTCGGGCGGAACACGGGGACTGGGGGAGAACAGTCGCCTGCGATGACTCCCGCCTCGCGGAGCAGAGCGGAGGGGGCGCGCGCCCGCGCCGCGCGCGCCCGAATGCCTGGGCGTCCTCGCTGCCGACCACGAGGCGCCACTCCCGGCCGCGGCCGACCTGCAGGCGCGCGTCGGGCGGCGGCCGGCAGCCGCCGGGTGGCCCCAGCCTGAGAACGAGGCCTGGGCACGACGCCCAAGACGAAGCGAAGCCTCCTCTTCCTCCCCATCACCACCATCCTCCTCCTCCTCCTCCTCTTCCTCCTCCTCCTCAGCATCATCACCGTCGCCGCCGCCACCACCACCACCACCACCGCACCCACCATCATCATGATCACCACTATCATCATGTCCCCCCCGCCCTCACTCCTCCCTCTGCATTCCTCCCCCTCCGTCCCACCCTCCCTCCTCATCCCTCCTGCTTAATCCTTCCTCCTCCTCCTCCTCGTTCCTCCCACCCATTCATCTTCCCTCCTCATTCCTCGTTCCTCCTCCTCCGCCTCCTGCTCCTCTCTCCTCCCCTTCCTCCTCCTCAAACGATGCCAGAACCAGGACAGGGTCGAACCGGGTCATCACCCTGCTCAACCCTCCCTCCTTCGTCCTCTTCCTGCTCCTACTCTCTCCTGCTCCGCCGCCTCCTCCTCCTCCTCCTCCTCCTCCTCCTCCTCCTCCTCTCTCTCCCTCCTCTACTTGTCTTTCCTCCTCCTCCTCCTCCTCCTCCTCCTCCTCCTCCTCCTCCTCTTCCTCTTCCTCCTCTTCCTCTTCCTCCTCCTCGTCCTCCGCCTCATGAGCCCTGTGAGCTCTATAAGCCCGATGAGCCCTATAAGCCCTGTACCTCCTATTGCCTGCAGGAGAGCCAGCATCAGAAGAAAGGTTCCGACAGCATTCAGGCCCAAGAGGCTCAACATTCCGAGGCTAGGCGTGCGCTCCAGCACCGCTCACAACTAAACCAGTTCGAACTTCACAAGTGTCCAACGGTTCAACGGCGGCGGGCGCGGCTGCCTTTGACGCGTAGCTCCCCTGCGAACGCCAAGGAGGGAGAGGGAAAGGAGGTTTTTCAGCCGCAGAGCTCGAACACCCTGACTGCCTTGGTCGACGCGCTCCAGAGGCTCTTCAACCGCGGGGACGCCTTCACACAGCAGCGGAAAATATTCAAACAAGAAGATTATCCTTCGGATGTCAGGCCGAGACAACATTCACACGGGCATCGACGAACTGGTGACAATCGGCATTGCCAATGTGCGTTCGGGACGCCAAGGGGACGTTCTATTCAGAGCACCTTACAGCGCAGAAGCACCTTGGTCTGATGGTTTTAGCCGAACAGCATCAGGAGTTGAAGACCCAGTACTCGAATGATCTCTTCGTGACGCAACGTCTCGCGGTTGAGTTGACCAGAGCCTCCCTATCTCAGTTTTGGGGTGTCAATGACGACGACGCTGCCTCGTTGGATCACTCCACCGTGCTGCAACCGCGCATGGCCGTCATGTACGGGAAGATTCTCAGGAGGAGGAGGAGGAGGAGGAGGAGGAGGAGGAGGAGGAGGAGGAGGAGGAGGAGGAGGAGGAGGAGAGGAGGAGGAGGAGGGGAGGAGGGAGGAGGAGGAGGAGGAGGAGGGG